AGGGGGCCAGACTTTTAAATACGCTTGACAGCCTGACAGCTGCCAGGAGTGATGTGAAGACGTTGGTGTCAGAGGGAAATCTAATCTTTCTCTAATTAACCCAATACTTGTATTTTAGCCTTGTTTTTTTATATTTTATGTTTTGAGTTTAGTCACCCGAAAGGGGGTCGGATGGGGAAGCTTTGGGAGGCTGGATGTGGCCCGCGGGACGCCAGTTGATGATCACTGGTATAAAGTATTCAAACAGACAGCTCCACACAGCCTGGCCAGCCACAGGATGACATTAACAGTCTGACTGATGAGGGTTATTTTTTCAAAATAAACTGACCTTTTCATCAATCAAACTAGACTTTTTCTATGTTGATTGCATATTTATAGAGGTACTACGAGAGCTGCTTTTAAAGACTATTTGACATTAACATGCAGTTCTAGTGCGGAGCGTGTTCTCAGTTGTGATGCTCTGCTCCGTGTGCTGCAGGCCGTGCTGAGGCTGGACTGTAAACTGTAGAGATAGAGCACACTCTGACCGACTCTGTGATGATGAAACCTTTTTTAAATGGCTCAAAGCCTTGTTTTTATCACCACAATCAACAGATCTCTGATGTTCCTGTTTTTGCAGATAATGTACAGCGTTATAAGCCAATCCTTATATCGGCCTGGCTTTGGTGCTGTGACGGATTCAAGCATTTATTTGTATGTTTCTTTCATGTTACATCTGTAAACAAACCTCATGAGCACTGCTGAGTCCGAGCTCTGAACGTTTGGGGATCTCTCCTCTACCTCTAGTTTTGAATCTACGATTAGTGAGGAGTGACACCTTGAGCAAAGCAGATTCACTGCTTTTATTTATTTTTTTAAATATTTTTTTGAACAGGGATAGTGTACATTAATCAACATTCAGACAGGTGTAAATAAATGTACCCGAGGTAGTCGAAAGGTCAACTTGCGCTGCAGCTCAGCGGGGTGCAGATACACTCTTGTGCGGCGCAACACATAGACAATAAATGGGTTTGAGAGCGACGCAACCATGAAGAATCCTCTACACTAGGCAGACATTTTTGTATCTAATAAGGTTTTCACAGCTACACCGACTTCTTCCTTCAGATGAAACCTGATTGGTTGTTTGGTGTAAAGTTTGAAGCTTTGATTCATTCGGTCAGCGGGGACATTCCTGGTTCTCTGGAGACAACAGCAGTGTTTGGTCCACATCTGCACAGACAGTTCACAGTCAACATGTTTACAGTAACGACCAAAGCAGGAAGTGCCTGAGGAAACACTGACACCTACTGGTGCTCACTAAGTGTTACACCTCTCTCTGACGGCTCACCATTAAACACTTGAAATATTGTGCAAAGTAAAGAGGTTTCAGTGTTTCACTGTGCTCTGACATGTTGTCTGTTTCATGTTATGTAACCCTGTGTTGATGCATTTGTCTGCTCATTTACATTCGTGAACAGAGATTTTGTAAATAAAAAGGCTCAAAAGGCTGTGACTCATGTGGGAAATGTTTTCATTGACTTTATTTGTACCATAAAAATTGATAATTACACATCTGGTGATGTTTTTCCTTTGGGTAACACCAGCAGGAGGTACCGGGAAGAGGATCAAAAGAAAAAAAAGGTAGAATGTAAGTCTGGACCATTGTCTGTATATATTTTTTGTATTTTTACTAATGCTGCTATAACACATTACATCACATCCTTTTGATTTGTCAAACAGATTTAACAAAACGTATGGATTCACAGATCTGTGACCTGCACTGATCGCTCAAGTTGGTAAAGGTTTCCACATTATTTTCCACTGTGGCCGACTGAAAATAGAGATTTGCAGTTTGTGCAAAATGCAGCATTTTCATTGGCTGGTACTCTTCAGGGTAGTATCTCTGATGGAGCTGTTAGGAAAACACTGACTCTCTTTTCAACATGGCAGCTAGCCTAACTGTTGTTACACAGGACAACAATTCTACATCCTGACCTGTCGGACATGTTTAATAATGAACATCACAACTTTCTACATGTGTCAAAGTTTCAGACAGCTGTTCATTAGGATACAAAAAACAAAGTTATCGTATTCTTTTATTTGAAGGTCAACCTCTGTGACATCATATTGAAACACTTTTCTGTCCGTCTCTCCGGTTCCATTCTTGTGACGTGTTATCCCAGTGTTTACACTTATACGCTCAGATTTAAGTTTTTGCAATGTGGTCAGGTTTCTGTGACTTCATGAAAACAAAACGATATCCAAATAAAGCTGTGATGAAACTGAATGCCACTCTTTTAGAGATAGGACAGTAGGGTGCGGACCAAGTCTGGAAATGGATCTGGTATCTGGAGGGGTGCTAGTTCTCTTCCTGAGCACTGCTGAGGTGCCCATGAACAAGGCACCAAACCCCCTCCACCAGCTCAGGAGCGCTAAGCATGTTGAAAAACAGAGTGTAAAATTGAATTTCACCTTGCTTGGACGGAGTTTACCTTCTTCAAGAGTGAGCTCTACAAAAAATAAAGAGTATAAAAACAGGAGAGAAATTTAAAAGATAAGAGAGCAGGAAAATAAATCAAACAAGCACATAAGAAATATACACTGTGAAATTAAATAAAGATACAAGAAGTAGAAAAACAACAAACTCTATTCATAAAGTCTTGAGTTCATCTTAAAGCTGCTGTGATCAATCCGTCCTGCTGCAGACAGTTTGTGCTGCAGGGACACAGCACACCTGTGCACAGAGAACAGAGGTGTTCCAGTCTCTGCTGCCGAATCTGATCCTCGGTTAACTGAGGCGACAGTTGGTGTCTGACGTCTGCAGACCGTTCTGTCAGAGCTGACAGCCCCGCTGCACCCCACTGCTAGCTCTCCACAACTCATAACCTCCAGCTGTCCCTTACTGGACAGGACAGAGTCACACACTAACCATAAGTCATCCCATCAAGATGAAGGATATCAGCAGCTTCTTACACAGTGGAGCTGGAATAAGGTCATGAATCACCTTTTCTGCATGTCTGGAACAAGCAAAAATCCACTTATCCACAACAGTACGTACATGTGCCGTGCTGGTGCACATGCTTTGTGGTGTGTTAACTGTTTTATAAAGCCACCTCCAAGATAACACATTTTTTTATGTACCCACTTGTTTTTTATAACACAGATGTTTTGCATATAGTGACCAACTTGGGCGAACAGTTCAAACAATAAATAAATACCAGAAATGGGATACCATAATGCAAAAATAAATATATAACTATATGTACCAGATTTTTTTGCAGGTAGTTAAAGTTTGGATATTTAATTAATTTTGTGTAAAAGCTAACATCTGATGTGTAATGATCAATTTTGAATTTGCACTACATCAATTAAAAAAGGTTTTATATATTCAAAACACACTTCAGCATGTTTTTCTAACACTAACATGTGTCTCTAGTCTGTCTACAAACCCCCCAATCATGAGAAAAGTCCATCCTCTCCGTCTTCTGCCTGCTCCACTTTTCAGAAAATGTGTGCTCAAACAGGCTGTTTGGAGATTTTCCCTTCATGACATCACAAAGGGCAGTAGCCCCTCCCCAGGTGGGTGACACTCCCACAGCTAGGTGTTTGTTCTGCCCTCTGAGTCTGCCTTCTCACCGTAAACAATAGGACATGGAGAGGGAAAGCTCGAGCTATACCTACAGTATGTCCTTCCAGTTGGGGTGTGGTCAGACACACAGCGCTTACTTATTAAAACAACCAAATGACGTTTTTTACTTTGACCCAAACAAATAACCTGGTGACAAGCTTTTGTCAGTCAGCTCCAAAGCTGATCTGAGCCAGGCTGGGGAGGTGATTGTTAGCCAGGAGGAGGCTAACTCTAACAGCTGATCCCACACACATCTATGGATATTATTAAATAACATCTGTGAAGGGCCCAGTGGTCTCTGTGGACCGGCACACAGTGAACGTTAAGGAACAATAACATCAGGCTTAATGGATGGAAATTAGATAAACACCTCCTTTAATTAGTTTTGAACAGTGTCTTTATACGTTTCCCAGAGTCAGCTTCCTGCTTTTTAAGATTAGAGTGCAGTTCTTCACGCAGACGAAAGATGGCGCTCCAGTGTTGAGCTATAACCCAAACACATGTTAGACCTCAAACAGCTGTTTGTCACTGAAGACACACAACTCAGCAAACGTCAGCAGGACTTTTCCTGCTGGATACACAAATGACATTAAGATGTTTTTATTAGCCTATAAAATTATAATTATATTTTATCAGAAACGTAACTGTAAAAGTATCACAATAAAAGTGAAGCTGGGCAGCTTCTGTAACTCTATTGAGACTCTGTAAAACCTTCTAGACTTCATTAATTCTGTTGAACATCTTTTAAAAATACTTCTGAACTCGTTGCTTTACATTATATCAAAAAATATCCAAAGAAATCAAAACATTTAACACGATAACGCCTGCCCCGCCCATCTCCCTTTCTCTGCTGTGTTCTGATTGGACGACGCCATGTCCGTCAAAGTACAGGGCCCGCTGTGCGCACTTCACGTGATACTAGAAAGCTCTGAAATCCGGATTACATTACAAAAAGTTAAGAAAGATAAATCTGGTTCGCAAAAGATGATTATATATTGTGCCACAAGATGTTTTTCTTTTTTTACTTTTTGGGACTTCAGGGGCTCCGTACTTAGACTTCGTTATAATTGCAACAGTTTTTGTTTTTTTTAAATAAACAACAAAAAAAAGATGTAAAATGATGCTAATTGAAATCACAAATAGGATGAAAAGGCAGGTAATTAGAGGTCTGTAATATTTACTGAAATTAGCCTAAATAAGAACAAAAACAATAATCTTTTCTTCCTTTTTTGCTAAAACATAATTTTCCCAACTTCAGCCAGATATGTCTACGCATTTTCTTGCTGGCCTTTCTACATTATTATGACGGTTCGTTGAGTTTGAAACACTGATTGTGATTTTTCCGACAGTCCTCGAAGGCAGCAGCGGTTTCATTGTGGGCCCTGCAGAGCTGCTAACGCCATCATCATCATCATCACACGCACACACACACAGCGGCCACGACGAGCAGCACGGCTACACCAGGGCACCGCTCCCGTTCCTCCCGTCAGATCATTCACACAGGACGGACATGGATTACAGAGCTGAGGATTATTAGACGCGTTCAAACTGGTAAGAGACGCTGCTTTTTTTTATTTCTATCCATCCTCCAGCCCGGCTGTGTTTCTGCAGCCGAATGAATCACTTTGATTTCTCTTGGTGTTTTTGTTTTTATCATCATTTTTTTTCTTCTTCTTGAACCTAAAGGTGTTTAGGTGGCCTGTTAGCTGACTAGTCCTCCTTTATGTGAAAACGGTTGCTATGGTGAGGCGTCGGCTTCCTTTCTGTCTTTGATAACGGTATCCTGTGTGCATCGGTTCACTTAAATAGCCTGCACACAGCTGCAGCATGCATGTAGCCCAGTTGATGAAGAAACAGCACCTAAAGCTAATTAAACAAGTAGGTTACCCACGCTACGCTGTGTTTATTATCCCACAGGAGGGTTTAGCCCCAAATGCATCTTGACGCATTGGTTTTTTAGACCCTCTGCTCGGTTGTTTACCTCCTCCCTCCCTCCTCTCTCTCTCTCTCTACCCCATCACCGTCACCATCATCAGCATCACCTATTGATGCTCAGTGGAGTCAGATGAAGGACACCACGTCACATGACTATCAGGGGGCTCTCTCTCTCTCTCTCTCTCTCTCTCTCTCTCTCTCTCGGGGTCGTTTTGCATGCATCAGCTGAAGCCAGTGAACTTTAAAGGAGCAGGTTGCATTCCTCCACACGGAGGAAGGGTTGCAGGTGAAGCATGTTGGCGGTCACTTGAATGCAATCTGTCTGCAAGATGTTGGCTGTGATTCCTGTTGAGTTCATCACTTGTTTATCCTCACATTGAAGGAGGGAAAGCCCCCCCCCCCCCATCATTAACTGGAGTGAGATGGGATTCCCTCCATCCTTTTCCTTCAGCCCATTAAAAGTGAAACTGCTCACATTTGTTACACCTATTGTGCATCGGGATAAGGCTCTCTCTCTCTCTCTCTCTCTCTCTCTTTCTCTCTCTTTCACCCCTCTCTGCTTATTACAACATGTGACAGACAGTGAGACGTGCCAACTGTTGTGCTTTTATTTTAGGTTGGCTTTCAAGGGAAGGCTCAAAGTGAAACTTTTACTGTGATGTGTGATTTAACACACTTTCTCGTGCTTCAGAAGTTCTTTAAAAGCTGATCTCTTCGACCTATAATTGTAAGATTTCTGCATCAGAGAGACAAACACTGTTTGTTTTACCACCGTGTGAAGTGTCAGTGTGCTGCATTCAGGAGCACGGTGTGTTGTAACGCTCTGTGGATAGATCCCTGTTACATTGAAGCCTGATGCTAAAATCATCTAAATGAATGTTTTCTCACATCCATCTTTACTCAATAATGAAAAAGCAGAAAACATCATTTTTAGAATCTTTTTTACTAATTTATTCAAAAGGAAAAACTGAAATATGACATCAACATCAGTATTCTGACTTGTTGTTATGACACTGAAAATCTAGCTCAGGTGTCTGTCACTTCTCCTGATTATCTTTGACATGTTCCTCCACCTGTACTGGAGTCCACCTGTGGTCAATTAGATTGTTATGGACATGATTCAGAAAGGCACACAGTTGTCTATGTGAGGTCTCACAGATGACAAAGAATATCAGAGGAAAAAACATACCATGTGGTGGAAGGAAGGTAAAGATTTTAAGTGAAGGAAGTGGTTTGAATACTTCTGAATGACCTGTAGACTCATCAATGTAGAGAAAATAATTGTTATACAGGAAGTAACTGTCTATTTTTATTTGTAGCCAGATGGAAAGTGATACCTATGAAAGAGACGTCTATGTTTGGGTCAGAGCAGGCGAATATGCAGTGAAGTATTTCAGATGTCCTCGTCTGACTCCTGGCTCCTTACAGGGAGAACAACACGTCTCTCGTCAGGATGAGTTATTGGTCAGGAGCTTCTCCTTTTTATTCTCACTGCTAAACACAAAGGAGAAGGCGTGCCCGCTTTCACTGATCAAAGTCCCCTGTGTTCAGGCCGACAGCTTTAAGCAGCTTCTCATTCTGTTAGCGTTCACTGTGGTGCAAAAAGAGTTGCTCATCACAGCAGGAGGACAGGAGGGACCTGATCAGGCTCACAGAGGTGAGGATGGAAGGAAAGCAGCACACAGAGAATGTAATGAGGGAGACAAAGTGGAAGGAAGGTTCCACAGATAGTCCCTTAGGTGGCCTTCACATACGATGTCTGGTGGACTCCATTGAGGTTGCATTTTTCATTTGGTCCCCCCCCTCCCCCCCCCTCCCGGTCAGTGGCTGCTGCCATCCGGCCTAATGCTGCACTGTGTGTTGTTAGCAATGCTAACGTCAGCCACGTAGCCAGAATACTGATGTTCAACCCACAATGCACTGCTTTTTGGTTCACTTCCCTTGTTTGGTCTGGATCGCGTTCTCACCTACGGCAAACTGAACTCTGAAGCACTTAAACCAGGTGTTTCAATTCTTATTCAGCCAGCAAAACAATAATCAATAATATATATAAAATTAAATTACTCCCAAGAAATGTATTTGAACTTTGTCCCTTCACATACAAACAGGAAGCAGCAACAACTGTCAGGGTTTTCAAAATAAATATTTTAAACTGAGAGTAAGAGGAGCTGTTCTGATCTCGTCTGAAAGTCGTCATGGTGACGATTTGTGAGCGCTTCTTACAGTTCAGTCTGTTCGTCTTCAAAGACGAGAACGTTTAAAGTACCCAGCGGTGATGCTATCTGTTAGCTGTGCTTGTTTATATCCTGGTAGTAGAGCAGAGAGAGCTACAACCAGTCTGTGGCTGCAGCCCCGGCTAGTGGCAGGTGGCTGTATTACAGTTTGATCACAGCAGTTCACCGTCAAGTATTCATAAATCAGGATGAAGAATATTTTCTACTGAATAAATAAACACTGTACAGCCGTGCTTAAGGACTTTATTTATGATGAACAACATCTCTGGACACAACCTGCAAAACACCTGCTGCTGGATTTTGCACAGACTCACCTGATGTGAACCTCATTCATCCTTTTTTTATTCATTTGCAGCCTGCTGCTGCTGGACTGTCCTGCACACAGAGCTCCTCTAGAGCAGGTGTGAAGTGTGCTCACAGTGACATCACATCACCCCTCATGGCACTGTGGCTCCTGTCACTGCCTGTTTGTTGTGTGGCACATATTTGGACCCGGTCCTTGAATCAGAGCCAGCGCAGAGGGCTGGCAGAAGTCGAGGTGAAGCTGTAATCTTCGTCCGTTTGCAACTTTATGTAACCTCTAATCTCTGTTACTTCAGAAGTGCTCACTTTCCAAACAGGAAGCTGTCATCTGGGAGCATTTAGAGAGACACAAAGACAAGACAGTCCAACGAGCAAATATTCAGCATAATGACTGAAAATATCAGTGAATTGACATCAAGAGGTCATGTTGAACCTTTGGGGAACGAATGAGGACCATCAGTCCAAAACTCAAATTAATATTAATTGAGCTTGTTTATTTCTTTTCTGACTACTCAAAGCTCACCTACACATTCACACACTGATGGTAGAGACTTTAACTCATCCATTCACAAACATTCATACACTGCTCTGACGAAGCAGCGGGAGCAACTTGGGGTTAAGTGTCTTACCCAAGGACACATCAAACATGTAGCTGCAGGAGCTGGGGATCGATGGTCATGGATGGAGATATCAGGGGAGGGGAGGGGATTTTTTTTTTTACCAGAATCCCACTGTGACATCACAAGGAGAGCAAATTTGAAACGGAGCATTTTGTCTCTGCAGACCACAAACAAACTGGATGGATTTATTTCACATTTTGTGGGTCAGTATACACTCAGGTTACCCAAATATATGTTCAAAAACACTGTGGAAGTGGATTTTTCATAATATGTCCCCTTTAACCTGCAGTGTATTGATTTGGACTGCAGATCATTTCCATGTTAATTGAAAACAGATAGACTCATCACAGAGAGATCATGCAAACTCAACACCGACAGGCCCAGTCCGATGGGGAATTTGAACCAGGAACCAGGTGGATCTCGGTCCAAAAGAAAAAGCGGGCCGAGACCCAGAAGTGGTCTCTGTATGGCTGGTTGGTCCGCACTGGGGTTAGATTGACAGCTTTCACACCAGCACAAACAAACTGATATTAAATCATCACAGTAGAAATGTAGCCCCCCCCACTCCCCCTCCTTCTCTTTAGCTCAAGTTTGAGGAAAAACAAGCATGAGAGTGCAGTCCAGGAGTTGATGTCATCAGATTGAGCTCGCGGTGGGTTAGAGGGCTCCGCCTCCTGTGCTGACGTCCGCAGTCAGCTGCTCGTTTGCGCCGAGCGTCACGCTCAGAAACCTCGGGGGTCAGAACGTCACCACAACACTGTTGTCCTTTGTGTCACGCTGCTGAGTGGAGAGAGGCCTGAAATGTGTGTCTCTCTCTCTCTCCTCTCCCTGCAGTCGTGACATACTTCTCAGGCTCAAATGAACTTATTGTTACAGATGAGTAAATGTTGAAGCATGGGTGAATGCAGCGCCTGGGGGGGGGGGGTTGACATGTGAGAGCAGAAACACAGATCATATGATCACCTCTGAACTCCTGCAGACCCTCCAGCCTCTCAACATCACCCGTGCATGTTCTGTTTCCCTCGCTGTTTTTTTAAGCTCACACACGATCGATCAGCGTCGTTTACGTTTGTTTACGAGCCGTGCATGTGCTGCTGCGATATGAAGGGAGGAAATGATGTGTCAAAAGCATAAAAGCTTGTCAAAGCGGGTCAGTGGAGATGTCTGTCTGCGGGGGCGTTTCTTCAAAGGAATTCAATTAAGCCGAGTTGTTTGTTTGCTTCGAGGAGCATCGCAGATACCATCTCACATAATCCCCTATCGGCCCTCCACTTCCACCTGCCGCAGCCCGTCTTTGTGTGTGTGTGTGTGTGTGTGTGTGTGTTTACTCCTAATGTGCAGTCAGTGGACGCTGAGTGTGGCTTCATTTCCCCCCTGAAAAGAAACCTCATTTGCATCTGGAGCACAGGCGAGGCGTGAGCGTGGCGGTCTCTTATATCCTGCTCAACGTTTTCCGTTT